AAACCTGGATAATAAATAAGGAAGACTGAAGAAGAATTGATCCATTTGAAATATGGTGTTGGCAAAGAATATTTAATGTACCATTGCTAGAAGAATGAACAGATCTGTCTTGGAGAAAGTACATAATCGAATACTTCTTAGAAGTGGGGATAGCAAGACTTAGTCTCTCATACTTGAGCCATGTTATCAGAAGGGACCAGTCCGTGGAGAAGGACATCATTCTGGTAAAGCAGATAATCAGCAAAAAAGAGGAAGACCTTCAACAAGATAGTATGACACAGAGGCTGCAACAATGGGCTCAAGCATGGCAATGATGATGAGGATGGCCCAGAAGGCAGTGTTTCATTCTGTTGTACATTGTTACTGTGAGTTGAAAATGACTCCACAGCACATAACAACACTTTCCTCTTGAATAATGATAGGACTTTAGAGAGTTGAAGTCTAATTTTTTATTCCCATGTTATATGTTATGATTGTCCTATATTTGGGTTTTACTTTGGTTTCACCCCTGCATGTTCATTATTATTATTTATATGTTGTTGTGTGCTATCAAGTCTATTCTCATCATAGTGATCCTATGCGACAGAGTAGTATTATCCCATAAATTTTCCTAGGCTCCCATAATCTATAGCGGCAGATTGACAGGTGCTTCCATGAGCAACTTTTGGGTCCAAACTGCTGACCTTTCGCTTAGCAGCTGAGAGATTGTTTTGGTTACCTAGTGCTGCTCTGACAAGTATATACCACAAATGGGATGGCCTTAAAAAACAGGAGTTTATTCTCTTACAGTTAAGGAGGCTTTAAGTCTAAGTTCAAAGTGCTGGGCTCTAGGGGCTATGTGAAAGCCCCTCAGCCTTGGGCTTCACCTCTACCTCCTGCTCCCAGCCCACTGAAGCTGGAGGCTTTTCTTCACTCAGCTGCTGAGACTGATAAGCCCAAGGTCGGCAAGTAACAAGGCACAGTCCAATATTACCAAACCACATGCCAGGCCATTAATTCAAGTCCATTAAAAGTCCCAAGATCTGCAGAGCATGGCAGGCTGCTGAACAGCAGCTCGGCTACATGCAGGGTTCAAGTGTGCCATCAGATAGAGACCATTCCTGAAGCTGCTGCTTGTATACGGGAAGCAGACCACATACCCAAAGCAGCTACTCAGCTGCTTGTGGTAGATCCCACCACGGAGTTGATTGCCAGTCTCATCATGGGGAATAACTACCACCAGCTGCCCAGCCACTCAACCAGGCCCACCCAAGTTGACACACAAACTTAACCATCACAGAGCTTAATCATTTTTACCACCAGAGCTCCTTTACTGTTGATATACCAAACTCAAAACTCACTGCTATCAAGTTGATTCTGACTCATAGTGATCCTATTGGGCTTCCAAGGCTGTAAATCTTGACTAAAGCAGAACACCTCATCTTTCTTTCATGGAGTGGCTGGTGGATTCAAACCACTGACCTTTTGGTTAGCAGCCAAATGCCTTAACCACTACACCATGAGAGCTCCTTTTATTGCTTTGGCAAGTGTGAGAAAATCTAAATAAAGCTAACTATATAAATAATAAATCTTTATTTAGATCAACTATATTATTATTTGGGAGCTCTGGTAGTATAGTGGCTAAGGCACTTGACTGCTAACCAGAAGGCTGGCGGTTCAAATCCTCCAGCCACTCCTCGGAAGGAAGATGGGGCAATCTACTTGCATAGTGATACTGCCTTGGAAACCCAAGGAGGGGTCGCTATGAGTCAGGTCCAACTCGACGGCACATAACAACAACAACAACAACAATATTATTATTATTTATATAGTTGATCTTTATTTAGATTTTCTCACATTTGCTTTATTCTTTTTTCATCATTACTTCTTAAAATTTGATCCTCCTTTCTGGATTCAGTTTCCTTCTCCCTGACATTAATTCTTTAGTAGTTCTCCTATAGTGCCTTACACATAGAAAGTGTTCAATGATTGTTTATTAACAGAATAGATTAACTTAACCAAATGAATATGGCTTACTACTTTAGATGCTTAGTTTGTGTATTAGAGTGATTCACAGGTCTTGGCTTGTTTATCAAACAGACAGATAAGACACCTGATTATTGGAATATGGAAGACAGAGAAGAGCATGTCACCTGGTTTTAGTTAATAGCATGAACTAAGAGTAAGGATATAAAGAACCAAGAACCTGAACATTCTTCCCTCTTCCTTCCTGTATTTCCCAGAATTCTTTTTCTAATATCACCAGCAGTTGCCATCAAGTCAATTCCAGCAACCCCATGTGTGTCAAGGTAGAACTGTGCTCCATAGAGTTTTCAAAAGCTTTTGAAAGCAGATCCCCAGGACTTATTTTCTAGGGAAGTTTGGGTGGATAAAGGAGCTCTGGCGGTATAGTGCCTAAGGCAGTTGACTGCTAACCAGAAGGTTGGAGGTTCAAACCCACCAGCCACTCCACAGAAAGAAGACTGGGCAATCTACTTCTGTAAAGATTTACCACCTTGGAAACCCAAAGGGAGTCACTATGAGTTGGAATTGACTCAATGGCAGTGAGTTTGTTTGTTTGTTTGTTTGTTTTGGGGATGGATATGCACTAGTAATCTTTCAATTAGTAGCTAAATGCCTAATCATTTGTATCATCCAGGGACTTCTTTGTAATATTAGAGCCATTGTTTTCCACTATAAGCTCCTGGTCTTGGTTTCCTTCTTAGCTTGCTTCAGCTACCACTCTCTCCTGTTTAGGAAAGCAATATGAAAAAGCAGTTTCCTTTTACTGTAGAATAACTTAATGGCTAAGTGTGAGGGCCCCAGTGAGACCACCTGGGATCTAATTCCCTCCCTCTCACCTATTAGGCAAGTTAATTGACCTCACTTTGTTTTTTTTTTGTTTGTTTGTTTGTTTGTTTGTTTGTTTTATTGTGATTTAGGTGAAGATTTACAGAGCAAATTCACTTTCTATACAGCAGTTC